TTGCAATACTTGCTGGAGATTCCCATAAATCTTTCTGTTTTGAATGTCGCCACAATCATTTCTCACCTCTCCAACAGCCAGCAGTATGTCAGAGCTGAGCTCACTTCATGATGGAGGCAACACAGATTTCAGACGCAACTATCAGACGGTCCAGATGAAGGCGCTGCCGCCCATCCCGGACCGCGAGGAGCAGATGAGAGCGGCTCCACCCGCGCAGAGTCGGCGGCCCAGACGAAATGACGGCAGTCTGTCGGACGATGAATTGGAGCGAAGGTAACGGTGTTTGTCTAGGATAGGCTACCTTCACACGCCACGAATTGTTGTTGAGTTCTGGTCTTTTTCTCAAATCCAACCTTTTTTTCTTTTTTTTGCACCGTCGTTTGTACTACCGATTAAATTCAGCCGCAATGAGACTTCTGTGTGAACGGTTTACGTTCCCAAAGTGACCCACAGAAGAAGAACATTGACTTCACACAGCAGCGCTGTTTATTCAGCTACAAGTCAACAGTATTGTCACATGAAGGAAGCTAATAAAAGGAAAACACAACTAATAGCAATGTTTTGCTGTACAACATTCTGTAGGGAAGTCTGGATGTGCAGTCAGAGCATTAGTGACGCAGGTTAAGTTCATGTAATCATAATTTCTAGCCGTTATTGACTTCCTGATTCACCACCTCCGGCTTTTTCTGGTTCAGAGTTATGATGTACAGCAGGTCTCACGTCAATGACATGAAAGCTAGAAAGATGCAACATGTCTGTTCAGTCTGCAGATGGTTTAAAAACAATCTGATACGTATCCAAACTCGCACCAAATGTAAGTGGCACGGATTGGACTTTTGGGGGAGTGAAAATATTGGAATTGGGCTTTTCCAGCCTGTGGTGAGAAAGCCAGATATAGGTCGCATTTTTGGGGGGGGAGGGTGGGATTCAGATTTGTGTCACTTTCATCTGCTGTGTGAATGTAGTTATTGCTCTTTTATGGTGCCTTAAAAAAAATCCTCATGTCTCTTGAAACTTTCCCACATTTTGCCACCACAAACTTCAACCTAGGGGACATTTTCGATAGGTAACAGAGTAACAGTGTCAAGCAAAATAAGCTGTAATAAATGTTGCTGTAGGTGGAATCCCCGCTCCGAGCACCTGCAGAGGAAGACGTTGAGCAGGCGAGGTCGCACCGGCTCCCTGGATGAGCTGGAGGAGTTTGCACGATCCTACGGCTCCCGCGCTCGTCGTCCTGAGCCTCCAGACCGGCTCCAGGTGAGGGACTACAGCCCACCGAGGCGTTCCTACCGAGAGGAGGACGATACCTGGGTCCGCCGGAGCCCCTCACCTTTAATGCACAAGAGAAGGGACACATGGGACAGTGACCGTCCTTCTCGACCGCCACTGAGCAAAAGCTATGATGACGGCTTCCTCACCAGCGTGCTGGAGAGGAAGGCGAGAGGCCGGGGAGGGGACAGGAGCGCTGGGAGAGCGGACGAGGACAGTGACACTCCATCTAAAGGCAGCTCCAGGGGAAAAGGCAGCGACAGCTACTACAGCAAGTCGCCCAGCCACCGTCCAGATGAGGACGACCCTTTGCCTCCGTACTCTGAGCTGGAGGCCGAGCGATACCGCCGGGCTGACCTGACCCCTGACAGGTACCGCACAGCTGAACCGCCCCGATCAGACCGATACAGGACTGCCGAGCCAGGCTCGAGGCCTTTCTCCTACACCCGTCCCCACCAGGGAATGTCCCAGACACTACAAGGGGCCAGAGAGGAGCGGGACAGGAGCCGAAACCTGGTGAGTTACTTGTAGCAGGAACAAGAACTTCCTTCCTCCATCGCTCTGCAGAAAAAGAGCATTTATGTCCTGCAAATTGCTACAAGTCAAGCCCAATGGCATCCGATAGTTTTCTTGTTAACATTATCGCAAGTGGACTCCACTATTAAAACCTACTAAAAGGCTGTGGTAAATAAAAGAAGTGTAAAATGAACTAAATTAAACAAACTCAGCACAAAGATACGCTAAGACCAGAATGTGAAAAGTCAGTGTTGCCATTTTAAAGTTTAAAGTAAGACAGATCCAAAATCTGCTTCCAGTCTCTGATCCATGTATCGCTCCAACTATGAAAAGATGCTAAATGACCTCAAAACAATGCAACGTGAGCAAATATGAGTAAAAAGACAAGCTTGAGTGCAGAAAGTCCACAATCAGTCCTTGTCGTAACACAACTATTAAATGATGCCTAATTGCACAGTAACTTCAGGCATGCCTGTCTTCAGAGTGATGAGATTGTTAAATTTTTGTTCCCAGGAGTTTGTTTTATTATTCATAATGTGTCCTGGTGACTTCTGATTTCAGTCCAGTTAGAGCCTTTGTTTCCAGCCCTCTCTGAAATTCCCTTCTGGTTCTTTTTTAAGGATTTTTTTGTGCAATTTCAGCTCATTATTTTAAATTTTCAGCCCACAACTTTGGAAGAGAGCAGCAATTGGAAGAGAGTACACAAAATTACCCACAGTTTTCATTTCGTAAACTATTGGCACCCCAAGAGAGAGTATGTAAATTTGATATACACAATCAAATCATCAAGGTGCTTACAAACACCTCGATGTTTCTACAGGTCTGCAGGAGGTGTAAAATATGCATTATTCTTTATGTATGTCGAGAATATTAACATTTACAGATTGCTCCGCAGCCCTCCAGTGGAAACAAAATGAATTGCAGCACTAAAAGTCAGCAGTTCTCAAATGAAGTGTTTTTTTTTTTTGTCTGTTTTTGTTGTATTTGTTGTCAATAAGAAACATTCAGCGTTAGTGTTTATGTATATATTTTTGTCTCTTTTAACTTTTAAGTGTAAGGCATAGTGGAACAGTGAATTATTAGTTTTTAACATATCGTCCTTTTGAGGTATTATTATTGTTCTTTTTACAAAAATGTCCTTTAAATCAAAACTAATTCTTGATGTATGCTCTCAGTGTAAAATGTGTCTTTCCTTCCTTTCCAATGTTTAAAATCTAAAACAAATCTTACTAAAACTCTTCCTCTGCATGGTTTCCAGCTGTCACACTGGTTAAGCACCGTCACTCAGCATGAGCGTCTCTAACCTGCAGCCTCTCGGTGTATTTCCCTAACAGAGCGCTGCACTGAGCAGGGATTCTCTGGTAGTGTGACGAGGCACTCGAACCTCCACCTGCACAGAGCTGCCGGTCCGTTCGTTTTATCCGTCCTGCATGCAGCCACGCAGGGAGAAGCTAACTGTCTCCACCAGCAGCTGCATGAAGTCTGGCTCACCTTGAAATAACCCCAGTGGGAAACAACATTAGAGGAAGGAAAACCTGGGACAGAGCGAGGCATCCGGCCTCTGCTGTTAGAGCTTGAAGGTTTCTGGATTATACTTGTGCATAAATGATACTGTATCATGTGTGTTTGTACGTGCATATTTTATGTAAGGTATGACCTTTTTTTTTTCATTTTTGTCCATTTTGTTTGGTGGCTAACGTGCCAAGATGTTTTATTTTATCTGTCCAATTTTTGCAGGTAAAAACCTCTGCAGGATCCACTCTTCTTATTTATGTGTCAGTACTCTGTAACTCAGGTTAACTCTGCATTTTATTCTTGTATCTTTCCGTTTTGTGACTGTTTTGGAAGTACTGCACCTTGAACTTGTTTTGCAGATGATCATTGCACTGCCTGGATGCTTTGTAATAAAAAATATCTCCTGAAAACCTGTCACTTTATCATAAGTGCAGAATATAGAGACTCTTTTTTTTTTGTCGTTTGGCTGTGCAGATGCAAAAGTTTTGCATTTGTGATTAATCGTTCCAAAGCTAAACTCTTAGATTATTTTTAAATTGTTGAAATAAAAATATAATGTTCCTAAAATAATTTCACTGGATTGCCAGACAGATGCATCCAGGGTTTGTTCAGTTCTCTTCCTGCCTTGCTTGTCATTTCTCCAATTATTTTAGGCTCATTATTTATTCCTTTGTCTGTCTGGGAGAATTTAGGCAAGAGGTTGGTGCCATTTGATCTAGACTTAGTATATCAAGATGCATCAGCTGGAGATTACTATGCTACTTCATCTATGTCATGTATCTTGTTTGCCTATATTAGGACTTGCTCCATTGATGCAATTTCAAGCAAAAGTTGTGTTTGAAAGAAAATAAGAGACCTGTTAATTCTGATACCCAGATTAATGAACCATCATGCTGAACTTTTTCACTCAGTGGATAGAAGCCAGCACCGACTGAAAGGTGCAAAGACAAAGAAGGAATTAAGGAACTGCAGAGAGCAGAGCTATTCATCTCAGCATCATTTCTTAGAGCATTGAGACACTTGTGTGCAAAGTGGAGAGTACTTCACTACAGGCCGGCCTGTGTTGTGTCTGCCCTGTGAAGCTGGAAGAGGGTCCATTTCCCCACGCAGGACGTGAGAATCCTGACAGCTGCATCGCTTTGCATCCTGAGAGGAAGCTCCACGGTCAGGAGCTGTGAGGAAAACAAATCCCTCTTCTTCGTGAAGAGGATGTCAGCATTCACGTGAGGAATGCGTTCTGGTTGAATGGAAACTCACAGCAGCACTGCAGATTGCTGCTGATGGACAGCTTTAATCTTACAGATTTAAAAGAGGCAGATAAGATCACTTTTAAAGAAGAGCAACTTTCGTTTCTCTAAAAATGGTTTGTTTTAAATTAAAAGGCTCCTTAACAAACAAACATCATGTTAACAATTGTAACACGGTTAGTGGGGGGAAACTTTCACACAGGTGGTTTGGGGAGTTTTTTTTCCCTTCATAAATTAAATATTTAATTGAAATATTACATTTCAAAGCGATATTAGAATTTCTTTGACGATACATTTAAGTGGGGGGAAAAAAGCACAGAGGAAATTAATAAGGGGGTAAATTCTTCTGTAAATGCAGGTCAATTTAAAATTCCCCATCGTGCCTCGCTGCACCTGTCACAGTGGGCGGGGCCAGTGATGTCACCTGTAGCTAAGTGGGGGAGGGGACGATCAGCCTCCGCCTTTCCTCTGGAAGTTCGTGTGGACCACTACCGACACCTCCTCAGGGAGAAAACCAACGCTAACATGTTGCCTTTGGTGGAAACCCGGTGATTATGCGGAACAGCGAGTACATGACTTTTTCCTACCAGTACTCCGGGTTTCTGCAAGACTTTGGCTTAACAAGAGCAAGTAGTGACGCTTCCGCGGAAGGATACGGAGCACAGAGATGGGAAATATGATACTGGTGGCGTTTCTGGTGCTGCACCTGCCAACAGGTGAGGTTTTAACTCTTTCTGCCCGAAAGTTCACCTGTGACTGTATGTTACTGTTGTACAATTTGTAGTGAGGCATTCAGAGACAAACAAAGAAGAAACCTGGGGCAAACCGTCGTCAGTAGTAAACAATGGTGGCAAGTTAATAATCGACAGGTGTAAACTGGACAAGGCCGAGTGACGTCACGTATCTGCGGGACCTAGTTTCCCATGTCCACAAGAAACTGCCAACATCAGGAGAACAGTTTCTGCAACCAACACAAAGGAGTTGGATCATTTATCAAAGAGGCTGTTAACAAAAGCGCTTTAAATGCCTTCTTACCCCTCACAGGAGCTGGATTTGTTTCAAAGAACAATTCTAACCCAATCTCTTGTTTCATGATCACTTTTGTGAAATAAATGTAATGAGTTAAAGCTAGTCAGTGGTGTAGAGGGTTGTAGCCTCTGATCTTTATAAACCTGCTGTATGTTTGCACCAACACTTTCCATATGTAAGATTAGAATGACAGTTTGATTTGGACTGTTTTTTTTTTTTTTTTTCTGTAAAACACATTAGAACTTCCTCATGTTGGCTATTCTTGACTTTTGCTTGAATCTTTGACCATATTATTATCACAACAACAGCAGTAACAGCAATAATTATGATAATTGTCTCTACTAATTTAATTTCCTTTGCCTGGAACAGATTAGCATCTGTTAGCTCTGTTCCTTTAAATGAAGATCAGAGTTTCCTTTGAATCACAATAAATGAACATTAACCAACATATCAGATATTATTTTGGTGACAGGGCTCATCAAAAGATAATATCTGTTCAATTGATGACTGGATGGTCTTTTCTTTCTAATGTTGTAATTTTCTGTTTTTGTTATTAAAAGCTATACAAGTAAACTTTGATTTTTATTTGATCTAGTTTTGTAATATGTGTTAAAAGTTGTTGCAGAGGTCATGGTCATTTTTGGAGAGCCTTGCTGTCTATATTTCTCTCTTTGTTGGAAGGTCAGTATGATTTAACTATAAAGCTAAACGCTGTGTTGGACTAAAGATAATCAATGGAATATTTTTCAAACTTGGGTAGACTGTGCAAATGTTTGTAATATTAGGTGAAGCTCAATCAATCAATCCAATTTGTTTTCACATGTATTTTTTTATATATTTAGTAAATAATACATTATGACTGTAACTGATGGTCAAAGTTTAAGGATTTCAAATATTGTTCAATTATGAGAAGCCAAAGCTCATAAATATCAGACAACAGTCACAGGTACAAAGTGTTTACATTCTCCAGTAATTGAAGATCATAATTGTACTCCTGAGCAATGGCTTCCCATCATGAGAACACACAGTTTGCAGTTAATGACTGATAACTGTGATTATAGGTGATGACACAGTCTACTTGTTGTAAACTGTTAACCAGCCTGGTCGGGTTCTTGCATTTAAACACAGAGTTATGCTGCTGTCGCTCAAATATCGTGACTCTTATGTCATTGTTCTTTTGTCTTTGTACCAGAGCTGCTGTCCATTCAGGTGGTCGTCCCAGAGGTTGAGAGAACAACAGCGCTGTTTGCTTCGGTGACGATCCGCTGTGACTACACAACATCAGCCAACCCCCAGGAGGTCCTCATCACATGGAGATTCAAGTCGTTCTGTAAAGACCCGGTTCTGGAGTACTACTCCACAGGTGAGGCTGTGGATGAGTGGGAAGGGCTCAATAAGATCAATTTAGGCCCTGCAATTAGTTATTTGATTATTTTTTTCATGGAAATTACTAAATAAACTTTGGAGGAAGTTCTGAATGCATCGTCAAACCTTCCTAAAAGAGTTCTGTAGGGTTTGGTGCATCCTACTTGTGAACAGAACATGCAGAATCAGATTCACACTTCACAAAGACATTTGAAAAATAGCCAGAACGTGTGTCTTAAAGAGGTCTACAAGGATGCATCAAAAATACACAGTGGGTTCACTAAGATGAGTGACATTGTATATTTAATCATTTCATGATGGTTGTTTCACCAAGTAAAGTTCATACAAGCAGGCAGTGACAGTGAGCTTATGTTATATATGTGTTTTCTCTTTAATTGTACAGCTACAAACAATATTGTACAAAGTAATACTGCAACACTGCAGAAAAAAAAACCTCTTGGCGGCTTTATTAGGCACTTATCCTGAACCGAAATGGTAAGCCTGATGCTCTGCAATACTTTGTTTCTGAAGCTTATCAGGCGGCTCTCAGGTTGGGTCAGGATCCTGCCAATGACTGTCCAGACAGCCAGCGCACAGTTCGGACCGTCGTCCAGAAGAGAGGCACCAATGAGCCAATGCTGGGGTCAGAGTACAGAAATCGTAAAATCACAATCCAGAACAGTAAGTTTGATCCCAGTACAATTTCTTTGTTGCTTATCAGCTTGAATGTGTTGTCCTGGTACGGTTAACATGCATACTGTACTTTTTCTTTCTCCTGGCTATTACTCTAGTGTTGAAGGATTGTATTCTCTCGCAATTTTTAGAGAACATATCTTAATTAGTACGTTATTGCAAATACCCAGCGGAGGGGGATTTAAACAAAACTTTCTCTCAACAGAGGCTGACTTGGTGATAAATGAGGTGATGTGGTGGGACAACGGCATGTATTACTGCAATATCGATGCTCCTGGTGACACCACAGGCGACTCGGATCGAGAAGTCAGACTCATCGTGTACCGTGGGTTTCTTCAGCCTTTTAACATTCACAGAGAAAAAAGCCTGCAAACATAAGAACTCTAATAAAAATGATTGTCTTGTTTCAGACTGGCTAACTGTGCTATTTATCATCATCGGTGCTCTGTTGCTCATCATGCTCTTCTGCATATGCTGCTGTCAGTGCTGCCCGCAAAAATGCTGCTGCTATGTCCGCTGCCCCTGCTGTCCACAGACCTGCTGTTGCCCTGAAAAAGGTACTGATGATGTCTTCATGTCATGGAGACAGAGGGAGGTTTCTGTGGCAGAAACTCTTTTACAGATTCTGATTTGCAAAGAGCTGCAGTTCAGTGTTCCTTCATAGTCTTTAAAACTTTGTGGTATAAAAGTATGATCTTTATCTTGCTTAGAATATACTTTCAGGTTTAAAAATATTGGAAATTATTATTAACTTGCAGATTCTGATTAAATAAACGGACTCGGTGATACTTTGCGCCACTGAAGCGTTTCTGGTCTTTGCTGTGATTGTAGCCGTGATGCAGCATCGGATGCTGAAACAAGCTCAGAAAGCCATGGCTCCCTGGATGTACGGTCAGCCTGTTTACTCCAACGTCAACGCCTCCTCCCAGGGTGTTCCCCTGCTCTACTCAGGTGAATATCAGTCAAACAAAAGCATGAAAAGATTTATTTGGTGAATGATTTGTTTCTTTTCTCAGGGTGTGTTTATTTGGTTTGCAAACCAGTGTACAAGAAAACCAGTTCTTGCACTGATGAGGACTTTTAACAGGCCCATTACATATTTATGTTGTGTCTTAGTACATTTAACATATTTTCTAAAAACTTGACGTTTTTATTTTGCATTTATCAAATTTTTTTTTTCTTCTTTAGTCCCAGCCTCGGTGTCGGATTACTCAACCAAACAAAACATCTCCTTGACTCCCATCCCTTTGGGACCCCTGGCCCCACAGCAGCAGCAGCCCCCTTTGCATGCTCAGTATGTGATGAATGGCAGCCTGCGCAGCAGTAATCAAAGTGCCAACCCAATGCTGGACTACCTGGAGAACCAGGTGAGAGGGCTGGATGTGGGACCCCCTCAAATGGCACCACATGCTGTCCGAAACATGCCCCCCTCACAGCCCCAACCCTCTCCTCCAGCCGTGACCTACGCCCCCGGCCCGCCGAGCATGTTGTCGGCGCTGGATGACATGGGGGTGAAAGGGGTGGAAAGAAGGGTGATCACTCTGCCTCCTATCATCCAGCGAGTTCCCAGCTTTTCCACCCGCAGGGATCCTGCTGGAGACGGGCCTGGGGGGTATCCGAGAATGTCCAGTCACTCTAGTGGGAGTACTAACCGGTCAGGAGGGGGCCAACGGGGAGACAGCCGTGGCTATAGAACCAGAGAGGACCTTCTACCAAGGCTGGGGATACTGCGCGAGTACAGCGATGAATCGGACTGGGACAACCGGCGAGGACGAGCAACGCACAGGAGTTCAGGGAACGAGAGGGGCAGTTCGTCCAGGAGGAGAGAGCGAGGGTCCAGGCCGCGTGCCCGAAGCCGCGACGACTTGATGGAGGAGCTGCATAGCAGATCGGCAAGGAGGGAGAGGAGCTACTCTCCTCCTATGCACCACAAAGGATCCTGGAGCTCAGATGAGGGCAGCAGCCGGAAAAAAGGACGCAAAGTAAAGGATTGGCCCGAGAAACCACCCAGCTACTACGCCAGTGAGGTGCAGCCTGGTCGCAGGAATTACAGCCATCTTTCTGTAAGAGCTTCCCCTACTGCTGACTCACACACCAAACCAGCAGTGTGTTAAAATTTAACCTATTTTGTCATTGTGCTTTACTACCTTTAGTTTTCAGCCTTTACCTCTTTCTTGCTTCTTTAACCTGTGTGTGTTGTGGCTTTGAAAACAGTCCGCCATTTTATAGCATAAACAACCTGAAAGATCAATTTAATACTCAGCTTAGTTCCACTTTGAGGAAATACTTCTTTCATTGTACTTTGAAACCTGCTACAAAGTATGATGACCGTCAGAACCTACAGTGGCAGTATCTTGACGCATAAGTGTGAGCATGAAGTATATTGGGTTTATAGCAATATGTAAATAAGTGAATGATAAAACAGAAATGTACCAATTAATTACATGGACATAATGTTAACATAGAGTATGTTTCTCCAGATCTTGTGAGAATTTTCTGCAGAGAAACTGAAAGATACATATAAAAAAAAGTAAATTTTTATATGTAAAAATGTACTTCATAAAATGAAGTAAATGCTTCATCTTATCATTTCAAGCTGGAAACATAAGAATAAAACGACTCTTTAAAAACTGGCTGTTACAAACCTTGTCACTGTGGCAAAAAGAATCAGTCTGTGTTCTTGATCGCTCAATCAGATGCTCCTTTAGTCGTGTAGAGTAGCAGATTGTGGCTTCGTCGCAGCTCTTCTCATTGCTTCAGGTGATAGAATAAGCTCATCATCTCAAACCTTTTCTGGTCCCTTTTTGATGGAATTAAAGAAAATTGGTACATTAACAAGATTCAGCTCCAACTCTTCCACAGACCTTTCACACTGCCCCCAAGTGGCAGCAGGTGGGTACAACCAATAGATGTGCAAAGCTCTTTATCGTCTGTTCTTGCATAGCTTTGGTTTCTTCCTCTCCTTTGGTGCTTTTTGGTTGTTTCTGTCTGTTTTTGGATGTGGTAATCATAGCATCTCTTGCTTAGACTCTAACCTTAACTTTTTTTCCACATTTTTTTTCTCATAGGATAGAGGCTCCCATAGCAGTACCAGCGTAGTCATCTGAAACATTTCTCTTATATTCCCCTGACTGCTTCCAATTAAGAAGTTTGTATCTGATTAATAAACTGAAATGTTTCACAGACCTAAAACATTTAAGACTGTAAAAATATGCACATGCATGTAGTATATGTGCACATATTTGAACTGTAAATCCTTTGTGTGTGTATTACATCAATATAATAAATCATGTTCATTTCCATTTTTGTTTGTTTTTATGTAAATCTTTCATGTCTCTTTTTCTGTTTTGGGTGCTTTTCCCTGGTGATGGAAAAAAATCTTTAGGTTGAGGTATACTTAGTTTCAACAAACACATGAAGTACTTTGTCTTGATTTTTTTTTTCTACATGTTTTTGCATAATTCTGCAATATTTAAACATTTAGTTTTTATCTCTAATAGAACAGCTGAAGCAGAAAGTACTTTGAAATTAAGGAATGAACAGATTAGATTTGAAATTACTGTTGGCACTGAAATAATATTAAATGTAATCTTACCTAACCATTTCTTTTGTGATAGAAAAGTAGTGTGTATAAAAAATGTTTGCATGTGTTTTTTTTGTGTGGTTTTTTTTAATAAACATTGTCTATGTAAAACCAAAGTGATTTTGGTCACTAAAGTGCTTGAATACTCCTGGAGAAATTCACCTGAGGTTGATTGGAGATTTTCAATGGATCATATGTGAATATATTTGACACTGTCATAAAGGCAGAGCAAAACTTATGTAGTATTATTTGCTGCAGTAAATGTTACAGATGACAATTGCTGTCCTGTTGGTACAACAGGGTTGTACAAATGGCAGCTCATTAAATAAATGCAATAAATACATGTTTTGAAGTTTTTATTTTATGAAACTGACAGCTTCCTAGCCACATATGAACACAGAACAGTGTAGAATATCTGACTGGTGAAGATTTCCATCTGGATTTGTGGTATTGGATAGGCTTACAGTTTTTAATGCCTCGATGCAAGAGTCACCAATGCTGTGCATTTCATCTATTAGGCCAGGGGTGTCCAAACGTTTTTGTCAGGTGGGCCAAAATTGAGTCAAAAATAGTCAAGGGCCAAAAACAATAAAAATAAAACTGTACAATCAAGCAAATACATTTTTTAAATTTTATCTACAAAAAAGTTGCAAGTAGCCACAAAAAAACTCATAAGGTCAAGATTAATCTAGGATATTTTCTAAAAAAAAATATTGGTAGCTTTGTTTTACATTTCTGCCTGGAGTTTAATTGGGATTTTTCACTTAAAGATGTCTTAAAGAAAATGTGGGTATTAAAAAAACAAGCGATTCTGGACAAATGTTTATGAAGCAAAACCAGAACAATTTTCAGGCGCCAAAACACCTCAGTATTTTATTTATTTTCAGTTTTTTACTAAAACGTCTGTAGATTTACTTTTGTTTACCTCAACTGCACCAATTTGTGGCCTTTTTTATTTATGAAATTTCTATTAGGCGGACAAAGAGTTTAAATTTGTTTGGTAATCCCAGTGGTAGAGTCCGCTATGCTAATAAACAGTGCGATAAAATGAACTTGCATTTAGTTACACTCAGTAGCTGTAAATTTACAGAACATGGATGACCAGAAGGCGCCTAAAGGCCTCATTATCGTGACATCAGACAAAAGCACCTATTTGTTTTTGTTGGCGCAGACGCTGAAGAGGGCGGGGCTTGTGTCCTCGCGGGTCTCTCATTGGCTGATGCGCGGCTCGGAGAGGCGGGCTAACCTGGACACGGAAGTGAAGCCGCCCAATGTCAGGAGACCCTGGGTCAGCTGTGGCGCCTCCTCCCTCCGGTTAAACAGCAGCCAGTTCTGTCGGTGGCGGTAGGGCCGGAGGAGTTTCTCCTGTGATCAGTTCGGCCGGGTTCTTATTGTCTTCCCGCAGGTTTCAGGTGAGGCCCGCTGACTAACAGCTCTGAGTTTGCTGGTTTTAGCTGGTTCATCGTAGAAAGCCGTGCTTGTTGGAGAGCTGCATGTGCTAACCGCAGCTAGCTTCTTATATAAAAGAGTTTAACCATTCGGCTACTAGTTGAATCGTTATTATAGGGGGATTCAGCCCAGAGAAACACTGCACAGTGCAGAGGACTGAGTCTTATAAATGACTCAGCTTGAAGCTAATGGTTTAACGCCTGAAGCCGGTTGTTTACGGAGAAGCTGAACTTGTTTTAGTCTCGGTATGTTTGGCATCCTGGCGTACTGCAGTGTGTCATGTTCCACTGAGTTGTTTTTTTGTGTACTCTCGGTGTCCACAGGCAGCATGAACTCCCTCCCAGGAAAAGCCGCCTTGTCTCTGTGCAGACGCGCGGCTGCGGGCGGGATGAGGGTGCTGGTCGCCCCTCCGGGTCGCCCCACCGGGGGAGTGCAGGCCGACAGGGCCGCTCTCCAGGCCGTCCGGGTCTGCCACTCTGGGACCAGCAAGAAGGGCAGCGTGTTCACCAAGAAACGGGGCTACGACATCACCAGGAACCCCCACCTGAACAAGGTTAGTTTATTTATCTGCCGGTGGCATTTATAACCCGCAGTGTATTATAAGCCTGGTGGGCCACCAGGCTTCACTTATGCCTCCCCCCAGGCTAAGCATTGTTTATTGTTTAAAGTCTTTCTAAGACTTTATAGTTGGTGTTCAGGTATTAATCGTCCAGTCTTTTAATAACACATCACTTATCAAGTGATATTTTCAAATTTCCTGTCAACTTTAAACATTTTTTAACTCAAAAGATGACAGGCCTCTGGATGAATGACTGCCCTTGCGCCCAACCACTGGGCTTAGCAAACTTTCTGGGGGGAACCTTGTATCCTCATATTTTAGAGTATCTTAGTGGGACTTAGTATGGTAGATCAACACACAGTAGTGCATAAGTCAGAGGAAATCATAGTTTATAACTTATGCTTTTGTGTGCAGTCCCTTTTATATTCTACAGACATTTTTAGTGAACACCAAGAAGCACACAAGATGGGTCAAGAAAAAGTTAACTTATGAAAATCACCCCACCCCACTCAGAAAAAATAAATAAATAAATAAATAAAATGCAGAAAAGCGCCCAAGAAGTCTTTGGTAACACTGGAGAAGCAGATAAGATCAAAAAAGCGCTTTGGGTCCACATACAAAACCCTCTGTGTAGCAGAAGGTTCACTCTGCACTGAACACAGAATCCCCAGGGTGAAAATTGCTGGTGGCTGCATTATCTTGTGGGCTTACTTTTCAACACCAGGGAGGCAGGTCAAAGTTCATAGAGAAGTGGAACCAACCCTTTAGTGGAGGTTCACCTTCCATCCAGAAGTACCATGATCCTAAATATACAGTTACAGCTACAATCGAATGGTTTAGACTGCACCATATTCATCATGACCTAGTCAAAGTCCAGACCTAAATGCTTTGCGAATCTCCTTCCACTTTATAATTATGTGCTACTCTTCTTTACTGCATATTACTCCTAGATAATGACATGTTTTCTTCAACTTAGTCATGATTAATGGATCTACATATTTGTATCTTTAACTATCATGTCATTTTCTAACATTAATGCATGCCATTTGAAAAAAAAAAAAAGATAACGTTTAGAAATTGCATGCCTAAGTAGGTTTATTTTTGTTTTAACAAATAGATGCATTGTGGCCTTAAATATAGCCTTTTTTGCGACTTTAATGATCATGGTTTAATAAAGTCAAGTTGAAACTTGACAATGAACTGATCAGTTGTAAATACACAGTAGAAATGATGCCAGGTTCCCAGTGCAGAATTGGGTGTCGAATGTATTTTTTAAAGTTGCATATGTGAGGAAAATGTAAATGGATGCATAAAGGCGCTTCACAAACTCAGCTCTCACTACATTAAGTTAAATGTTTGTACAGCCAACATAACGTCCTGCGTAGCACGTGCTGTGATGTTGACATATATATAAACACAGTAAAAGGCCAAAACGTTTGGCTTCATGAGTGATGTTAGTATTTAGCACTTTTTACTTATTTAACAAGTGAGCACAGAACAAGAATCACACCCCTATTCCTCCTCTGTTCTGTTTGGATGAAAATAATCAAAATTTTCTCAAAGAACATTGTCTGTGGTATTTCTGGATTTTTCATTCCCCCACCAGTCATGATGGCGTTAGTCTGTTCCTGCTTTAACTTGTTCCAGCCCATGAAGACACCAGGATTCCTGCAGAGGCTCAAGATGAGTTTATTGCTTAGATTGTAGATGTTCAGAGGTCACTCTCAGTTCTCTCTTCTCTCCATGCTGACTCAGCAGTCACATCCTCACTCACAGGTTCATTTAAGTGCAACAGTCAGGAAATGGAGTTGCACTTTGATAAAAAAAAAAAAAAAAAGAGAGAGAGATTTTTCTTCTGTGCTGTGCAAAATGGTGAGACTCCAAGTAGAGCTCCACTTCAGTGAGCTACTTTCTACAAGCAAGATTCCAGTCATTTCAAACATGTCCAGATATTTCCTCATCGTCTTCACAATGCAAAACTTTATTACAGTTTGTAGCTTTACAGCAGCAGGGTTGAGGTGTGGCTCCTGGTTAATTTAACATCAGACACATTTTTTCTTTTGTATTTTTGTCTTCTTTTTTCTCCATGTGTAAAAAGTGTGTCTTTTTAGTCTGATCCTTCTCGATGACATCCAGTGTAATCAATTACCTCCAGAATTAATTTGTAAATGGTTTCCACGAACAGTTAACAGTAAGGCTGCACAGTGTGTCTGTCTTCTGTCTTAACTCTGTTTCCATCACTTTGTGAATTTGAGCATTTTGGGGGAATGTCAGTGTCTGCTGTGGAGCATCTGCTGCTGTGAGACTGTCCAGGTGGACAAATATTATGTTTGCATGTAAAAATGCGCAACACTGAAGTAGTCACCACTTTAAAAACACTTGGTGAGAGTTGTGAAGGTTTTCCGTCTGTGTAAGCAGTTACTTTGAGGATTTTCCAGGGAAGCTTCCTTCCAGATAACTTTCTCTTACTCTGCAGTTCTGGAACCAGTGTGCTCTTGTCTTCTTTCTGAGAACTTCACTTGTGTGGCAACAACAAATCCTGTTTAGTTTAAAGCATTGTAGCTCATCTGATGTTGGAATAGGTTCCAAAGAAAAAAATTGCATTTGCGATAAATGCACTGCAGAACAAAGTCGGCGTGGATTCTATGTTTTCAGCGGGAGAAATGGGAGAGACGGTGAAAGACAAGTGGAGCTCAGAGGGGAGTGGGTGGAGGGGCTCACTTTCATTGGACAGAATAAATAGATTAAAGCTCACACCCCCGCTCAGATGCCTTTCAAGTGGCCTGCAGGCAGGACACTAAAGGAAACTACTTTCACAAGTTTACAGTGTTCCTTTTCAGAATTAAAGCTGTAAAGTTTCTTTTTTGTAAATTACCCAACCGACTCACACGTTGGTATTAGATCTGTCCTTCCATATCAGACACATTATCTAACAAGAGGCAATGCAAATGCTAATAAACCTGCAAAAGAAGGCTTCTTCAATGCATTGGTCAATTGAGATTAGCAATGGCATGAGCAATAAAGATCATTTTTATACTAACTTATGCTTCTTTTTTTTTTAATGAAAAACCACAACCTTTCTTCCTTGTTTCTTTTAGATATTGGGAAATGGCTGTACAAACATAATGTTAACCTATTTTCTTTTATTTCATCCGAAGTTTTTTATGCCCAGTGTCTGTAGGCTGAGTGTGTAAAACTTCTTGTTTGTGCACACAATCTTGGCCAGTAAAGCGGATTCCGTTAGTACATGTAGCAAATAGAAATGTACTTTAAATTAATATAATGCCCTACAAGTAACTCAACTTTCCACCCACATTGAAAAAAAAATCTGCGTT